GCGACATTTTCTAGTTTGGTCGCACCAGAGTGTCAAAGTTGGGTGTTTTTTCATATGCAGTTTTCGCTAACATACCAAATTTCAAATACCGTTAAAAATAGTTTCCATAAGCAGAATTTGAATTTGTTTAGTTTATTTGAAAGGTAGTTTTATATGGATTCATGAAATGTCCACAAAAATATTTTTTTTTTTTTAATATGGATGGATTAGGCTTTCAAACCAACTATATCTCAATTATAAGTAATTTAAAAAATTTAACATGAGCTCTGTTAAGTCGTTAACAGAGGTATGTTAAGAGAAATGGTAGGTGTCTTTACTAGTTAAATTCGAATTTATCTTCACACCCTTGTTTCATTTTACAGTTTACAGCAGACGGACAAACGGACATGCTTAAATCAATTTACTTTGTAGGGTCTCTAATGCTACGTTCTAGACCTTACAGACGCTTTTGCAGCACAGTAACGACCAACGATAATGTGTGGAATGAATAAGTCCTTTAATACAATTGTACAATTATCCTATGAAAACGCAAACGTAATAGGAATTAACAATCGTTTTAATATGAAAGTGTAATGCATGACACAACCTAACAGCGTTAACAAAAATTAGTAGTGTGATGTTAACAGATACTTATGCTCAGGCAGAATTAATTTCACCATCCGTTCCGAGTTAGCAAACAGATTTTTCTTATCTAAGTGTCATGATGTTCTAATGCGTGTGAGCTTATGCCAAAGGAATAGGCTCCTGATGTTGAGATACGTTTGGGGTTCGGAAACAAGAATGGTAAGCGAGAACTGCGATATCCTTTCAATTTCCGTTTATTTAAAATCTATCTGGCACACATGATAATGACGCCCTGCAACTTATTACTGGGGACAGAATCTAAGTTACAATATATGTTCGCACCATATGATATAAACGGCACGACAAGGCCTTTAATCAGCGACGGGAACATAAGATGAAGAGAGCCACAGCTTCGCCAAACTGTTATATATACACATGACAGTGCAATGGACACAAACGAGAGTTGAGCTTGTAACCAAACTCGATCTCCACATCACGTATCTTAATGGGAGACACGAAATAGATATCATAAGCAACTGCTTAAATATTGCCTTATAGCCTTACTTTTACCAGCGTTTAATTTTTAATTATTAGAATCGGATCAGAGAGCAGTACGATCTACATCTTCATTGATATGCTGCTAACACGCGGGGATGCAACACAGTTCTGTGCGTGATCGGCATAATAAATGAATGCCACAGTCGTTGATAAAGATACTAAACAAGATAAACCTCAGAGTGGACCCTTGTGGGAAACTACTTTGCAACAACTTTTGATTCAGAAAACGAGTTACCAAAAATCATCCGTTGGTGCCGATTCGCTAAATTGAATTGAAAACGAACTAAACCCAAAATAATACCTATGCTCACGCCGCATTAAAATAGGATCCATCGTATCAAAGGCCTTGGAAAAAGCAATCATTACAAGGATCATCATCTCTCCTTTGTCGTACTTCGATCGCACGCATACTTTGTGTGTCCAGTGCATACTAATTCACAGGTAATGTCCTATTCCATGAACCACAGTCGGAACTCAAGAAATATTCGTATCAGGGCAAACTTCACATAGCATCGGACTTCCTCGAAAGAGCTTTTGGAGGAAGACGGCTTAGAGGGACTTCATACGCATGTCTTAATAGGTGCATTATCATTAAAGGGTACAGATACATGATATGTTGGATAAGCAATCTTATCATTCACATCAGCTATGTGTAGAACATTATCCCAACCAACGCGGAAGGAGAAAAAATTCAGTCCTTCCTTATTAAGAGATTCAAAATCCCTAAAGTTGAAGGATACTACCGTTTACTATTGTCGCAGTTGATAGCAATATCGAAGATGAGAACCAACATTTCATGGTCTGAGCCAAATGTACAATCAAGGAGATGTTTGACGCATGGTCAATATCCAAGCAAGCAGGCCTGCAACGAGGGGCGACCAAAAAACAACCAAGGGCCACAAGAAGGATCACAAAAAAACAACTTTGTAAAGCTAGCAATTAATCCTCGGCATTAAAAAAGTCTGTTTTATTGTCAAACAAACAATTTGTGAAAACTAAGAATCCCGTCCGTTCAAGTGCTTTATTAATAAGTTCTTCTTTACTAATTGATTATCGTGTTAACATTCGCGAAATCATTCTTTGTGTTTGTTTTGTTCGCTTATATGCTTAGTACAGGGAAAAACGCGTTGCTTATGAAAAGTATGTGCATAGCAGGGGCATGATGGCTTACTCCATATATATTTAGAATTTTGTAACGATCAAAAGCATATGTGCTAACATATTAAAAGAAAACTTGATAGAAACGGAGAAATAATTGCAAGGGACTTTAAAAAAATGTTAATTGTGGGAAATAGAACAACAGTTAAGTGTAAATGAAATATCAACCACGGGGTACATTAAATGTATTACATTAATAGGGCAAAAAGAAACTTTATAAAGCGCGTTCGTACACATCCGCAATGGACTTTGAATTAAAGCACAAAAATGTATTTATAGAAGAGGCCTTGTGACGAATCTTGGATCTTTATTAAAATGCAATGGAGTCATGATGTAATGTCGTTATTCCATTTTTTGTTTGTAGCAAAAAAAAACAAAAAAACAAATGGTGACTACGAAGTTGATAGCAACTCAGGTGTACGATAATATAAAAAGGCTGAAGATAAGGATGCCCTTTAATGGAAAAGAACAATTTCTTTTTTGGTTAAGGGTTTTTTCAGTAGTATGTGTAACATGCTAATTTAATTATATATAAACAAGGCTCGCTATCACATAAGCATAATAAGAAGAAAGATGACTAAGAGGCTTTATTAATTGATATACTATATATATAACAGAATAATGTTCACAACACAGCTACAAAATAAAAAAGAGAAAAATCTTTATGAAAATTGAACAATGTATAGGAAACAATATAAAAAATATTGCAATAAAGCAATCAACGATCTCAATCCACATATATATGATAAATGATTTAAAAGGAACAAATTTTTTTTTTACTTTTAAAATCAATACGTTCAGATATGTCTTGAATGTACCGTCGAATTTATAAAGTTTCATAGTGAAGAATTATCAAAGTAGGTTGCGTCAATTTTAATACCTTAGTTTGCGCTCTTTCCAAAGGGGAAAAGAACTGAAAGGCATTATGAATTAATATTAATAATTTTTTTTTGAAATTTTTTTTCCTTTAACATGATAATAATGTTAGGCTGTATGTATACAGCACCACTTACCTTGGGAAAACAGGAAACACAATAAAAACAGATAGCTGATTAATTTCATCAGAGGAAATTCGCAGGAGGCATTATTGCGAAAATTTTTAAACGTTTAAGAAGAAGCTGGTGAAGAGAAACGGTACTAAACAGTGCTTGCTTATCAACGATATCATCAACATGAATTATTACAAATCCCTATTAAAGACTCATACGTTCTCATAAAACAACAGTTTCGTTTACACTTTTTGTTACAACAATTTTACTTTTATTGTAACTTTTATCCTTTATTTTCTCTGCAAATTTTTCACCATATTCTCATAAATCTTAGCACAGCACATTATTAAACAAAATTATTTGTCGTTCCACCCACTCCTTTAATAGGATCACAAAATATATGCAAAGCGCCCGTTCTAACGATGCAAGAGATGTCAACAGTCAATGTGCTCAATGTGTAGCAGTAATTTACACAATTAAAACATACAGTTAATAGGGTGGGATTTCTTTTTTTTTGATTATAAAATATATGCATCCCTCACAAAAGATGCTGTTTAAGCGAGACACAATTTTAAAAAGCGATCCTTTCTTGTTATCTGCAAAATCAAATTAGTTTTTCTCTTTCTAACATTTCGTAGCTCAACTTTCGTTTATTAAGCCAATTTTAATTTATTCGTTATATATTTTTCTTTAGTGTGGACTGTTTCCCATTTTTTTCTTAATATTAAGAACACCTTACACCATCCAATCAACGCGACCACAATATTTTTATAAATGTTTCTCTGCTTAGCAAAGCCGTCAACAGTATTACCAAGTTATCATATTTGTTAAGATTTAAAGAATGTGATTGTTAAGCTTGCTGAGTATCGTGGTAACCCTGCTCGAGATATGGCGCGCGTGCTTTTTTCGGCGCAGGAAATCTGTGAAAAATTCTTTCAATTATGTCAAAAAGTATGGCTGCTCCCGTTCGAATGTTCTAGCAAAAATCGCAATACTAACTGTGTACTAATAATATTGACTGAATCAAGCGTTCGCTGAAAAGTTTTACTTTACTTGTTGATCCTATCCAATCAACCTCATTACTCATCTATGCTGCCTTAGTTACTTTCGACTTAATTCCCAACTACTTGCTGGTAAGTTAGCTACTTTTTCAATTCAATTTTTTGCGGCTACGGATTTTAAAAACTGCCTGTGCCGCAAGAAGTTGACGCATAAAAAAATAATTACGAATATAGATGATTTTAACGCTTCTATGAATACGCATTTCACTAAGCGGAGAGTTTTAAGCCTCGAAATGGCATTTAAAAAACCGTGGCAATAGTTTGGCAGTGGCACATCTTACTACGGTGAGGAAATGACCATAGACGGTAATATTTCCGGTATGGTAGCTCAAACTTTAAACAATAAAAACAATAATTCTTAAACTTGCATCAGCTCTCACGGTTCTGAAAATACAGCTTCAACAATTACGACCAATTATGCTCAAATGCAAATCACTGCCAAAAGGTTTCTAAAAGTTAAAATCATTAGGTCGTCTTTCTTTCTGCTGATTGTCGCCAAAACTGACGAAGCTTCCAGCAGCTACACAATTTGTTAATTAAAGTTTCATCGTATTTTTAATAAAGTCAACAGCATCCCAGTCTTGAGCTCTGTGCAAAGCATATGTGCAATAGATGCTAATTCTATTGCAGCTATAATCAGCACAAAAAATAATTTTTTTTCTGGACTTCACGTTGCTTGTCGGGAAAGATTTCGTTTTTTACAAAATAATGATTTCTTAATTTGAATCAGTTGATTTAGAAAGAGCAGGTTTCGCGGTGCTTAAGTAGCCATTAGAATTACTTGGAAAATTCCAAATTCTGGAAGAGTCTTCATCAACTTTCATTGAACTTCCGCTCATCAGACAGGCTGTTCATCCTGCCATAATAAGTGGTATCAAGAAATGTGCGTGTTTTTTCGACAGTAGATCGGCCCTGACCGAAATCAAAAAAAAAAAAAAGATCCGCACAATTTGTATGTATTTAAAATCCACAAAATCCACCTGAGCGGCCTAATAGGCAAGACTCTCGGCTAGCAAGTCAATGGTCGTGGGTTCAAATCTCAAGTGCGGTAGAGTTTTTAATAAAGCCGAAATCCTTAGATGCTAGTGCTTTAAGACTTTAGTCTTAGTATTTATGCTCTGGCTAAATTTATAATAATAATAATAATAATAATAAAATTCAAAAAAAGTTAACTATTTCATTATTAAGGCGTATAATCTAATCTGGATTACAGGTCATTTTGGCTTTCACTGAAATGAAAATGCTGGCCTTTACGCTCCCGAGGCTCGACTAAATGAAGAAACTTTCTCTATCAAATATCCTCAAAAATGACAACTTTACCACATGGTAGATTAAGGCCCTCAATAGGTCCATATGCAACCAAACATCACCTGGTGATGTGTGTCACAGACCAGAGTCAGCTGACCATTTTATTTTTAATTACCGTGCACTCGATAACACTATATTTTCTTGTGGAATTTTTAGTATTTTTAACAGTCTGCATGAAATTTTTCGTGTTCGCGATATACATATTAAACAGCTAGGTGCCTTAGTTAAATCTACAGACTTCTCTTTTCAAGTATCATAGTTATATACTAACTCTTGTCCGGTCTAATCATATTTTTAACAGTTTCTATAACTTTATAAATCTACTATTCCTCTACAGCCATAGCTTGAGATCAATCTACTGGTCGATACTCTAGAATGAACCTTAATGTTTTGACTATTCCAACTTGTACATCATCCACTTGAGGAAGATAATCGTCATTTCATCATCATAAATTTTTCGTCATCATCTTTGGAATTGTGTCCCATCCTAATAGATAACCATCTCTGCTTCATCGTTTAATCACCTTCAATCAACTGGTATCCTTTATTTGGGCATCGTGAAAACTCATAACTGGACATAAGAGACTTTCATTTACAAGCTTTGGTCCGTTTACCATTTATATACCAAAAAAATCTATATATAAATAAGTAAAGATAACTGATTAATTTCATCAGAGCGAATTTACAATGTGGAATGCTTCCTTTTTCTTTTTTTTAATAATAGAAACTTCTTGCACCTTCCATAGTCACAATATTTTTATAAATATTTCTCTGCTTAGCAAACCCGTCAACAGTGTTACCAAGATATCATATTTATAAACATTCAACGAATATGATTGTCAAGCTCGTAGCCAATGACAACAATGAAAGTGTATTATGGGTACAACCCAATAAAATCTTTCGCTCCTCAGGTCGAAGCTAATAAGCACATGCAAAGCCGCGCTTAGCTGTCTTATCATATTATTTGAAAAGAGGAAAACAAACACAAATGTGAAATATCATATCATATGATATATGAAGTAAGAAGACGAATATTAAAATAAATGTAACAACTCTAATATGGAAACAACTAACAATAATAATAACATAAAAACTCAACTTTTTGTAAAATAAAATTTTGTACAAATCAAAATTTCAGGTATTCCAAAAGATACAGTACGAAAATAAATTGTGAATAATAACTTTTTAAATAAATTGTCGCTTTAATCTTTTATTCTCCTCTTTTCCTCTTTGTGTCATGTATATTGAGTGTTTTCATTTGCTTTTTTATATGCGAAACCATTTCATTTGCTAATCTCAGCGAAGTAAAATAGAAATAAAAAGTTGAGAAACTCTTCATGCCTTTTCACTGAATTCAACTGTTATGCCAATGACAGAAAACCGGGTACGGTTGGTCTGAATTTGCAGCCGAATAAGCCTTCAACACATTCATGGTTGATTGGATTGTTCGGATAACAAAGTTCTAAGGGGACTAACACAACGGGGCGTTACTTCTATTTTCGGACGGGAAAAAATCACAAAAAATAGTGATCGTTTAATTTAAATTTTTAAGTTACTTATGTAATTTATGCTGATCTTATACTAAGGTAAATTTTTTTATATTATGGCATTTACAATTTGGATTTGTACTATGTATTGTCTTGCAAGAAATGAAAAGCAAGCAAAGAAAACCATTGAATATATTCATCAAGTTGTTTTATTAGAGAGCGATGGTAGTTTCCAAATTATGGACCAATTAAGAATAATTTAATTAATACGAAAATGTAGCTAATATATATACACTACATATATCTAATCAATCTTTTTTATCACTAATCAGTAAACAAACTTCTTTACTTTCATATTAAAATTATTGTTTTTCTTTTTTTTTTATAAATTTGTTTTTTACGTTTACATTGAACTCTTTATTTTTGCTTCAAACGCCATATGTCTCTGTTAACTTTTTCCGGTAAAGCAATATGGCAGCGCCGTTTCCCATTGCATTTACCATTTTGGAGTTCTTAACCCGAAAGCGAAAATGACGCCTTACTGTGCCTTTAAGTGATAAACATAATGGGAAGCCAAGTTACCGTATTATTTAACAAGCAAAAATAAAGAAATCGATGTAAATGTCAACAACTAACATATGGTTTAAGAAGTAAAAGTAAAGAAATGAGCCAAGAAGAAAGCGAAGAAAATATGATGCTTGACAAAGCTGTTGAAATAATGCTTAACCAACTGATTTCCAGATAATTTTAGTCAAATTTTATTTTAAATCCAACTTTTATTTATTTCTAATATAACTGCCCGTTGAACTACCACGTTTTCGTCCTCGTTCTCAAAAAATTTGTTCTAATAAAGCAAACTGATTTAATTATCTCAACTAAAGCGTCCCACATTTAATCACAAAATTTACGGAACACGAAAGATCTTATCATCCTGTTGAAAATTTTATCCTCGAATAATCTACTTTAACCGATTTGTAACCTCGGGCACCAAGCAGAGACTGACAAGTGTTTCTCTCTGATCATTTGAGTTCACAAGACTGCTCATTATCTTGCCGGCTTCAACTAACCATTTCGTTTCTAACATCATCTTTCCTAATGGTTTTTGGGCACCAAGCTAACGCCAAGTTCAAAAGTAGCCGGCCCCTTAAGAGCTGAGGCATCTAGAAATGGTCCTAAAGGTAGGATCACATTAGGTTTAAGGTAAATAAAGGATAGTTTTGCAAAACATTACGGTGGTACAAAACGTAAAAATTTAAAGTTTTAGATGACTTTAGTTCAGAGCTCTTCTTCTTTGGGCAAGCATTTTAAACTTTGTGGGCTCAAACGTTTGAAAACGCAAAGCAATGGCAAAGCTAAACTACTGTTTGATAATGCCCAAAATGCCAATAAGTTTCTGAAAAATAATGACGTCTGTTCCAAGCATCCAAAGGCATATTAATCTCGGAATTTTGCAGAAAAAATTCGGAATTGTCGGTAATACTCGTACATCCACTAAAGAAAATGAGATTGTGAAAAATACTGAGACTGAAATTGAAACTAAATTAGTTACCAGGCTGTACTGACGAGAGCCCGCCGACAACAACTAGTTCATTCCGACGAACAGTATCAAAATTAGCTTTAAGCGAAAAACCATCTTAAAAGTCAAGTAAAAGTAAAATTAAATTTTGTGATATTTCATCTTTAAAATTATGTTTTAAATGTGCCAGATTAGAACATATTGTCAAATTGCGCAAAAGTAAAGATTCCCGCTGTCTCAGTTGTGGTAATTCTTCAGCATGTTCGCCGGATAACTAGTCTGTGGTTCGTTTGACGAGCATAATATGCTTAGTAAGGACTGTCCGAGAGCAGGAGAAACAGATCAAGTCCGTAAACTATTTCAAATGCCTTAGTATGCTGGCTATGATGAAAACTTCACATCTTCAAATAACTCTTCTATTCCGGCCAACACAAGAAAAACTGTTAATGATGTTAATAAAATTTCCACCAAGAAGAGATGCAACCTTGTAGTTAAACAAAAATCGAATCTTCCTCAACCCACGCAAGCTAATATTCCAAAGCGTCACCCTACTGTTTTCACTATTTACAATAATCGCAAATCCAAATCAAGACCATCTCAAAAACTTACCTATTAAAGTCTCCGCATAAGTCTTCTGCAAACACAATCATGGTCAAGCCGAATCTGGGAATCGCATCCTACTATTTCAAATCACATACCTATCCAGATTTTTCGTGATCAAATGCAAAAGCTATATAATTTGCTCAAAGGCTCCCAAAATATAGTTTTTATTCAAGATTTTAAATCAAGACATTCCCAGCTTGGCGACACAGTCGCTGCTAATAGGGGAAAGACTCTTTTCGATATATTGATTTCTAGCAGCTTTGTTTGTGGCAACAAAACCATGCCAATGATTCTTCATTTTAATGATAGCTCCACTACTGATAGTGCTTTAGACGTAAACTTTTCGAATAGCATAACTTTTGAGTGGAATATCGCGAAAAAAGTTCACATAGGAAATAGGCATCATATTCCGATTACTCTTCAGATCAGTATCAATTTCTCTCTAAGGATCAATGGATTCATATCTCGCAAAAAGTTGTAAGATCGTTCAGCCAATTTAAATCTAGAGATCGATATTGAGTCAAATCACAACAGCCTTCATCAGGATACTCAATCGACTCGAACCAGTCTTCAGATTATCAATACCTGCTAACTGCAATTCAGGATAATTTTGGAAATTTTTGAACAAAGCCTAAGAATGTGTTGGTCTGAGTAAACTAGGAAAAATTTGAACAGCATACGATGAATCAAGAATCATGCGCATGTTGCAACATTTAGCACGAGGTTTCAAAATTCACCGTTGCGTAGATAGAACGGCGTTTATTGACCTACATTCTG